AAATTTGATAACTAATGGGGACTGTGCCATGCATGGCTTGTTATTTGTGTTCATTGTACGTCCGTCATCCATAGTCCCGTCTGACAACTGTTACATTTACACCTTTCTTGTTGAAAACTACCAGCTGAATTGCTTTGATACTTAGTGTGTAGGTAACTTTGGTGGACCTTTCAAATTTGTTTATTTCATGGTGATATCTTGTATTTTCATTTTTTAATAGTTCTTCTTGAGAACGTTGGGTGAACCACTTTCTAACTTCCTTACTCTTTATGTAATTCATTTCATTTTCTGATTAAAAATTTCTGACTCATTTGTGTTTTGTTTACTATTTAACTACAACTGGTAACAGGGACTGTTTATTGGTTTGACTTTGGTTTGCTATATCATCCTCTGCTGTGTGAAGGCTACCCACTTTTCAATTCATTCATTCATTTACCGGTATTAATTAAGCTTTCATGTTTTTTTGTTTTTTTTATTGTATTTTATTTTGATTAGATTTTATTGAATTTGAAAAATGGACACAGAAGGTAAGAAGCATCACTTTCATCAGTCCGCAACTGTTGCTGTCTATTTGTGTTCAAGCCTCTCTATCAAATCAACGCTTAATCATACATTTTGTATCGTTGCTGTGGACCTAAAAGTGAGGCTTTGAATGCAAATTAGTCAGCAATGGCCACGGAATGAAAAAAACAAATAGTTAAAAAAGTTGGCAACAATATAAACTTTATTTAACAATTCATCTTTCTTTAGCAAATATCCAAAGAATAGGTTATATTCACTACGTTCAATTACCCACCGTAGACTACGGTCAGTCAAAATGTCTATTTTGAACTGTAGGCATTTGGGGCTTTTGCCTTGAAGGCGTGTGTTTTTCACTGGAGTTGTGAGGCCTGGCATATTTTTTCAGAGCCATCAAAATCGTTGAGAATGATCGCGTCGCTCGTATTTTCACAGCAAGGTCGTGCATCCAGTAAAAATCGGTTAAAGTGAGTTGCGTGTTTGGCATGAGTGGAAAGTCCTCACGCTCGGCTACCGGTACTTCGTGTACCGAGATGTCGAGTTGGAGGCAGAAGTACCAACATATTTCTTGGTCTCCCCCGTCGTTCGGCAGGCATCCTCACAGTCTGTGTTTTCAGACGGTGGTTTACCCGATTTTACTGGCTTCAGCGTGGCTGTGCCCCTGGAGGTCTTTCCTCCTATGGGGCCTGTTGCAAGTTCCTTTTGTGGATTCGTCTGAGATGAGGCCTTGGTCGATGAACTGTCGGGGAAAATTGCGTCCCTGGCAGGCCGGGTAGATCAGATGCAGTTGGAGCGTGCTATCTCCACTGCAGCCCCTCGGTGGGCAAGCAGGAAGAAACACAAAAGCATTGCTCGCATTTAAAACATGTACGCATAGAGGCTCTCAGTAGACTCGCACAGACGAAAGGTTTATCTGAGCGGGCTGCCAACGTCCTGGCCAGGGCGAACAGGGATTCCACCAAAGCTGCCTATATTTTTAGGTGGCGAGCATACACTGATTGGCGGAAAGGAGATTGGTCCATAACATCCCTTTATTGTCCATGTAGCAGACTTCTTCGTCCACCTGTTTGATGAAGTGGGTTTGTCCTATGCAGCGATCGTTGGCTACAGGCCGGCCTTGTCCCCCACCATTGAGAACGCTTTGGGAACAAGACTAGCTGATTGTCTTATTATTAGGAGACTATTTACTGCTTTCCATAACCAGAGGCTGAGACCCCGTACAAGGGAACCGCCCAACTGGGATTTGTAGTTTGTGTTGTCCGCTCTAAGCAGACCGCCCTTTGAGCCTCTCCGATCAGCACCACTCAAATTTTTGACATGGAAAACTTCCTACTGGCCCTCGCCTCAGGTAGGCATCGGTCAGAACTGGGGGAATTGTCCTTCTTGTACCGCCTTTATGGACAATCAAGTTGTGCTCAAGACACGAATCGGGTTTCTCACCAAGAACCAAATCCCAGGACATGATCCCCATCGATCGTCATCCCCCGGCTGTCAAATTTTGTCGGCCCGGAGGGTCAGCAGGAATTGCTTCTATGCACTTAGTTGCTACAAAAACCGTACTGGAGTTTCAAGTTGGGGTGCCAAGCACATGTCTTTGTGTTGCGGCCCAGGCAGGCAGGATAGGCCGGCCTCTTTGTCTTCCATCGCCAGGTGGGTGACTGCGCCTGTATTAGAGGTTTATAATACAGAGCTTGCAGAGACACCAAGCTCGTAGCACATGAGGTTCGTGCGATTGCTAACTCACCAGTGCTAGCAGCCGGCGCCTCCCTTTCTGAGGGCAGGCTTCTGGAAAACGCAAACGTCTTTATCAACTACTACCTAAGAGACACCCAAACCATTGAGGATGGCCTCTTTTAGGCTGGGTCCCGTCGTAGCGGGTCAAGTTTGCTGACCCAGCCCGAACAACCACAAGGGTCCCTGTGCATAGGCAATTAGTCAATCTCAGCATTTTTGCGGACAGATTTCTCTACCATCAGCACTCCTTGGAAGTTTCCAGGTCTCACTTTTCGGCCTATGTCCTCATGCAGAACTGTTTAAGTCTTTACTTCGAAACATACTACCCCCTAATTTGGGTTTTGGGTCTAGCTTTCTCTGGCACACCTGTCACCGTAGCAGCATTTTTGGTTTTTTGCTCCGGGGACAGCACAGGCAAGGTAAAACACCACCCTCTTTTGGGGGTTTTAACTAGGTGATGAGTGGTGTAAAGTGTATCATCCCGGACTGGGAAAAGACTTTCATCATTTTCTGTTTGCTCGGGAAAACCCGCCACCTATCGGCGTCTGACTACAGTTCACAATAGTCATTTTGACTGACCAGAGTCTATGGTAGGTAATTGAACATAGTGAATTTAGGCATAGGGTCCTTCGAACCCGCCTATTCACATAGTCCATAACCACCATAGACACTGGGTCACCCCCAACCATCCCACTCTTTCCATAGCGTTGATCTAAGTCCTTGATGCGAAGAGAAAGGAACCAGAATGATTATCCGGCTGTAATGGCACGGCCATATGGCCTCGGTCATGTGGTTCGTGACTTACATTGTAAGGGAAAAGAATCTTGGGGTCATGGGGCTTCCCCTGATCTAGATTCTATCTCTCCGTCATTGCCAGAATCGCTGAATAATGCCTACAGTTCAAAATAGTCATTTTGACTGACCGGAGTCTTTGGTGGGTATGAACTATGTGAATAGGCGGGTTCAGTAAAAACTCTTTGCCTAAATATTTTGGGTTAACCTTTTGTTCTTGTTTTTTTGTTTTTGTAATACATGTATACCATACCATAGAGGTATAAACAGATACCTCCATGACCATACAAAACACTTGGATGGTTTTAGTAGTATAATAATTTTTTTATTATATATCTGTCCATAACTATTTTTTGACCCTAGATAATGTATATTGCATACATATTTTAATATATAATATTAATCCATTTATCTAACTGACTATTGCTATTCATAGCTACATTGTATCTACACTGCGATCACTAATTAACCACAAATTGTACTGCATTTGGTAAGACCTTTAATTACTATTTTTGTTTTCACTTAGTATAATGTACAGTATAACAATCATGGTGTATTTGATTTGCGATATGGCATTTGGCAGAAGAACTATGCAATGGTTAAAGAACACAACTCTAAAAACCATACATATACTTGTGAGTTCAATTCAACCTAAGTTGTTGACAGCTGCTATTCACTGGGGTTGTTAGCAAAATTCATAATTCAAGCAACATTTTGTATATAAATATTACAATTTTTACTAATTCAAACTGTGATATGTAATCAATTTACTACATTTATTACAGAAAGAGGAAGATAGAACAGTCATACATGTATTTCTATTTATTTATTGACACTGATAAAATCACAATTATACTGCATTTTTACTATTGCATTTATTGTAGTGTTTTACATTTTATTTTAGTGGCAATGAACAAGTTTGCAGATATGAGCTTTGATGAGTTCAGACAACAATACCTTATAACTGCTCCACAGGTATATGTTATGTCACATGTATCGCATGGTATGTTCACCGGTCAATGTTGATGAAAATGACTAGGATTTCTCGAAATGACAAAACCCTTAAACGATCTATATAAATGTAGAAAACATTAGATATTGTTGATTCACACATAGTTTGATTGTGCATTGACCTCAACCATTGCTTGGTCATTATTATTGACTATTGTAAAACTTGTGGTTATTTTTCTTGTGGTTACAGTTTTTATCCAATTTCTTTCAAACCTGCATGTTAACCAGTTGATGATGTTTGCTAAGTTTGGTTTTGGTATGTATTCTATGTACATTAGTGAAATTGTCTTCTACTTTAAGTTATAAAAACATGAACAATTTTTAACTATAATTATTTTTTTAGAAACTTTTATTCTCACCTAAATTTTAGCTAGTAGTTTTCTGCAGAGAATGTTTAGGTATTGTAATTATTGCATTGTTTAGGACTTTCCATGCTAGGAAAAGAGTTACCTGGCTGCAAGTTCATTAGTTTGTATCCATCCATCAATTTGCTACCATATTTATCCGGGTAAGAGCCCAGGGTCCTGAACATGGAAAATTGCCAAAAAATAGGGGTGGGCATTTGCCCGTATCCCCTGCAAAGTAATCGAAAATTCACAAAAATTGACAACACACAGTTCAAACTGCGACAGGGAATAGAACAGCAAATGACAATATGCAACATTAGAAGTAAAACAAAAATAATATTTATTGCTTATATAATGTAACAAATAAACCAGAAATAATAAAAATCGACAGTGAGGACTCATTTGAATTAGGATTTCCTCGCCAACAAACAAGCCCAATACGCGTGAACTCAAAATGAACTAAAATGTCGGGAGTTAAACTGCGTATTTCTGGTCTTGACAAATTACGGATCAACTGTCATACAAGATCAATAATAATTTACAAATTTACATAGTAAAAATTCATAGCTATTTGAAAAAACTTCCCAGATCTTTATTTGTATGTTCATTGCCATTCAATTCGTCAAACTCAAAACCCCCAAAGTCCAAGTCGGCATAACTGTAGCCATCAAACAAAATCCCTACAGCTTCGTTCTGAAGTTCATTTCACAGTCTGTCAGCTTGGCATTTTTCATTCATGTCTAATTACAATAAAGAGACAAGATAAATGGGGTCACTCTGCTGCGATGGCACATGATGCTTTTGTTTCCGCTATGGCAATCATCTTTGACCATTATGCATCTGCTTTACTGAGGACTTAAAAAAGGACTTCCACGGAACACAGACTGAAAAAAACAAAAACAATCAAAGTCCATCAAACAAAAGTGCATACAATACTGTTATTATTGGCGACTCTATTATCAAGCACATTGATCCACGTAAATTCTCAACAGTCAGGAAAACCCATGTCAAAGCGTTAAATGGAAAAGGTATTAGCGAGGTGACAACTTATCTGGAAAACTCAAGTTTCAAGAACCCACGTAACATAGTAGCACATGTTGGATCTAATGACCTGGACAGAACTACAGAGTCAAAGAATGAAGCACTACTCGAACAACTACCATCAGAAACTCGTAAACCTGATTGACGTCACCCGTAAAACATATCCACAGCATAGAATATTCGTCTCTAGTATTCTACCCAGAATTGACAAAGCCCAGTTTAACACAACAGCAACTAGTTTCAACTCATCCTTACAGTCCTTATGTGAAGACACAGCGGATGTGCACTTTATACAAAACAATCTACTTGACGCAACAAACAATATTAAATCGTACTTGTACGAAGACAAAGTGCACCTAAATGACAGAGGAACTAAATTCCTAGTCACCAACTTCAAACGTAATATATATCAGACCATCATAAAACGTACAAAACATACAAACCATCATAAAACGTAGCGAAACATTGGTCACAGAAACAAAGAGCAAGCTACACTCAACAGAAGAAAACACAGTAGACAATATTCATTACTTGATGACCTACTTACCAGCCTGGCGAGCTATATAAAAAAACAATAGGTTCAATGAACTCACTCCAAAACATTCTTATTTTAGAAAACATTTTCTGACCTAGAATTCAGATATTGTTTGCTTTCAATGTATTTTTTTTTTTTTTTATATGATGAATGTTGCTAATAAGCCCTCCCTTAAATGTACTTCCTGGAACATTCATGGTAGCTTAGATCTCAAAATTAGAGATAATAACTTTCTAGATCTTATTAGTGACTTTGATATTATTAGTCTGGTGGAAACCAAAACAGGTTCAGATTCCTGTATCCAATTGCCAAATTTCTGCCAGTTTCATTCATTTCGAGCTGATAAACACAAAAAAGCCCGCTCTAA